AACACATCAGCATTCTTCATTTGATGAATTAAAACCCAACTTTTTCCCATTACCAAAACAAATAACACTTGCACATAATTTCCAAGAAAATAAAACCAGACAACGTTCAAGCACTCACAAGAAAAGACACACTGTGATTGAGCATAAATAGAAAGGGAAACAAAAGGTTCAAATCAACCCACATTCACAAAAAAAAGTGCTGAATATAAATAGAAAGGGAAACAAAAGGTTCAAATCAACCCACATTCACAAAAAAAAGTGCTAATATTCAGATAAACAGTCAAGTGAAGTGAACATTGATCATGAAGGAAGATGCAACAAACAAAGCTTCATACGATACATGCAATGTTTGACTCCCCACACCCTCGAAGTTCCCTTAATTTGCATTCTGACCCCTGTTCGCAGTCGGTTGCCCTGCATGCCATTGCTGATTAGAGTGTGAATTTTCTCTTTGTATTGGCTCTCTTTGGGCAGGCATTGTCTCACGACGTCTATCATGCCTCGGGCGTGGCCGTCTGCTCGTATTTTGTCTCTCAGTAAACCTATACTGTGGCCTGTGAATGACTTTCCCATCAACAAAGAGATCGCCTACAAACAAATTTCACAAAACTGCCTTAATGACATAAAAATAACCTTTGACTGTTATGAAAGTACTTTCATATATAAATTCTGCTAACCTCCATAGTCCTTATTGGGAACATCGAGATATGAATCGGGCAATACCCACAGAACACCCGTTAGACCTATTGTTTATGAAAACAATGCACAACTGTCAACTGATTGGGTCAAACCCCAAAACAAGACACGGTTAATGATCGAGTGAACATCAAATCAAAGCTGAATGATCTTATACAACAAAATTTCCAATAGGGAACCGTGAAAATATAAAAATAAAACAAAATACATCGACATGAATTAGAACGACAGGTTCCCAAGAATCATCGAAGTATATCAAGAAACTGAAAGATTGAATAAGCCAGATAATTCTGTGATACTTTAAAAATTAGCCCAATATTTTCAACGGGAAAAGTATGAGCTATGAGATATCCATTACCTTTGACTTTGTATGACAATTCCTCTGAGATCAAGGCTCCGAATCCAGTGTATGTTGTCGTACAAACAGAATATATCTTTTTCTTTGCTTCTTCTTCACTGCATACCCAGCAAAACAATAAACATGCATAAATCAACTTCACAAAATATTGTCCTCGTGAATCAAACTTCTCAAGAAATATGAAGCATTACACTGGCCCCATTTCCATATACAACAAAATTACAAAATCAAAACTACTTTCGTCCTCAACTTTTTTAATATTTTACCCACTAAATCGAGGTACCAGCCATTTTGTTAACTTCTCTAAACAACTAATTGGAACTTAAAATTTATGCACTAAATCGTGTTTGTCAATCAATTAAAAAATGAAACCAGATAACAAGATGCACGGAAAGAAAAGAAATAACCTAACATGCACAATCACCTATCAAATTCCAAGAAATTTTCAACTTGCTAGGTGGCGATATTAACGTTTTGAATTTTGCCCCATTGAATGGAGATTAAAATTTCACCCAAGACTCCTCATCAACACTCCCACAATCAACCTACTATAGACTCAAATTCCTACCTCTTGAATCAGAAAAGTACAATCATTCATATCCTTCCACATAATCAAATCATGTGAGTTTTAATTTCATCAACAGAACACAATTACAACACATGGCCTTCAGAATTTCTTTTCTTGACTTTGATAACCGTGCAAGCACTCCTACAGAGGATCATACTCCACTCATATTCTCCAATTTGTTCAAGGATTCGAAATTNAAAAAAAAAAAAAAAAAAAGAAAATGAACTTGAACCAAAACGAAATCAATTCGTTCACTGAATAAATAATATAGATCCGTTTTCCCTTTACCTTCCAACAACCGAAGCTAGGGTTTTGACATAGGCATCAATCATCTCTTCTTCAGTGGGCTTAGGGTCAGAATTGAATTCCATCACAATGAGCCAATGCTCGTAATCACATCCATCTAGGAGAATCGTATCCTTCGGCGGTCGGTTGCTCCAGTTTGGAGATGGATCGTTCAGTGGGGAATAGCCCGGGCCGGATGTCCTCAGTCGAGTTTGAACCGTGAACCGGTCCACAAGGGGTCGCTGCCCGCCCTGACTCTGAATTAGGATGGGAACAGCAAGACGCAACCGGTGGGATAGGATGGAGGTTAACGTGCGCCGGGTGGCGAAAAGCGACGCCGCCATGGCCGATCAGTAGAAAGAGGTGTACTGTGGGGAAACTGGTCACTATCTGAATAAGTTAGCGTATTCTTATTGCGATGCACGAGTATATAATATTAAATAATAACTATAAATAGGTATCGAGTTCGAGTCACCCAATGAAAGAAGTGGGGAACCATTATTATCCTTTTTTAAAAGAGTAAGAAAAAAAAATATATTATAAATTAAAAATAAGAGTAAACAATATCAAATAATAACTAATTATTATTAAGTCTCGATTTCGAGTCACCCAATGAAAGAAGTGGGGAACCACTATTATCCTCTTTTAAAAGAGCCAAAAAAATATTACAAATTAAAGATGAGAATAAATAATATTAAATAATAATTATAAATTAAAGATGTAGGGTTAACATGTGATATAATTTACTGTATATCAGTTTATTATCAACACTATAAAATTAACTTGTATAAGAGAACATAAAGTTTGTATATTAAAATATAAAAAAATATGTGAAAGTATGTAAAAGGTTTCTGTATTATTATTAAAAACATTTAAATTTCACATTTGTATGAAAGATGTTTTCTAAACTCTTATGTAAAGAAAACATGTCTAAAAATATTTAAATTTAATATATGTGTGTGTGTGTGTGCATGTATATATAGACATAATAT